ACACAGAAAAAAGTCTAAAAGAAAATACACCAGGATGATCTCCGGGCAATAGAATCCAGATGGTTTTCACTGCCTTTTATGCTTTTCTGTCTTCTCCTAATTAATTTCCTATATTCAACCTGTACTTTTAGAATCAGAAAAAAAGCAAACTCTAATCATTTTTAAAACTGCTTTCCTTTTTATTTCTTTTTTTGTTATAGGGTGCGTGAGCTCACCAGAAAGACAGACAGACAGAGAGACAGAAAGCAAGAAATCACCCCCGGGGGGGATGGCCACGCCACAATCCCTTCTCCTCCATTCTCCTCTCGGGATCTTAGGCACGCACACACACGCGCCCGGTGTGAGTTTAAGCCACCAGGTCCAGGACTCGAAAAGTGATCTACTGACTACATGGGAGTCCAGCAACATAGCCATTACGCCAACTGCTGGTCCCAAAACTGCTTTCCTTTTGAAAGGCCACTAGTGCAAATGGCAGAGAATAGGTGGGAAGGAACCCGGACCTGGGAATAGGCAGGACAGCCTGAAAAGGTGCAAGGGGGCTCCAGGAAACAGCCCTGACCAGGACGCAGGCCTCGGATCCCAGCTCCTCTCACACCAGCCTCCATCTCCCCACCCCGGCACGCAGCTCCTGACACTGGCACTCTGTAATCACCTGCCTGGTGTCCCAGATAGAGCCTGGCATTGGGGCTGAGCACTGGACAAGCATAAGCCACTCTTCTCCCTGCTCGTGGGGCCCAGCTGTGTCCAAAGTTCCAGGGCCTGTGCTGGCTGCACCCTGGGCACCTGCTGCTGCAAAGGGGGTGGGGGTGGGGACCTGCCTGCCAGCTCAGCACCACAGGCAAGCCCCCAGGATGGCTGGACAGGGAAGGAGGTGGGACTCGGGCTCTGCAGGTATTTCTTGAATGTCTACAATGTACTCAAACTGCAGCACATGAGGAAGTGCAACGAAAGGTTATTGTAGTGGGGCAGGGCCAGAGTCAGGCAGAAGCCTTCCCTTCCCCAAGGTTGGCCTGGCACCTACTGTCCTGCTGGGTGGCCCCCGAGTCAGGATCTTGAGTCTAAACGGGACCCCAAATCACTCTCCAAGTCAGGACAATGCAGAGACCTTTAAAGACATTTCCCAAGGCCTGGTAACTGTCCTGTCCTCTTACCCTGCTCCTCCTCCTCAGTGTTCTTCCCGGCCTCTGGACAGAGGAGAGGGGCAACACTGTGCCTAGCCCTGGCCCTGCCACTGCCTTCTTCACCAATTTATGCTCACGCCTTCCCGCTTCCAGAGTTCGCCACCTGAGATGCTGCCCAGAATGAGAGGCAACAGAAGAATCAGAGGGCTTTAGCTCAGAAAAAGCCTGGGTTCAAATCCTAGCTCTACCAGTTGCTAGCTATAAACCTCACTCAAGTCTCAGTATGCCTCACTGTAAAAATGGGCAAATGCCTAAGACAGCTGTTGTCCAGCTCGGCCAAGCTCGTAGGCATGAGTGGGCTCTGGAAATCAAGCCTGGACTGGAAAGAAGGCTCTCACGATATCCTCTTGGAGAAAGGCCATGGTCACCCCAGGCCTTGCTGTCCCACCTTTCCTTTCCAATTTCTTTTTTCTTTTCTTTTTTAAAGATTTATTTATTCATTTATTTTTAATTTGACCAGACACACACACACACACACACACACACAGAGATAGGAAGTGAGAAAGCAAGCCACCAGGTCCAGGACTTGAACCGTGGTTGGCCATGTGGTGCTTTAACCACCACGCCACCTGCTGGTCCCTCCATTCCGATTTCAATTGCACTCCCTGCCCAGGTCCATAACTCACTTTCCAAATCTGCACACCCATACTGGAGCTCATCCTGAAAGGGCAAGGCTCCAAGGCATGACCATCCTGGGCTGAGTGCTTCAGCTGAGCACTCTGGTTAAACAAGGCCAATTCCTGGGTCAGCAACGAGGCTCCAGTGGGGACAGTCCCTTCTCACGTTGAGTGGCAGCTGAGGTCACTAAGCAAAGGTAGTCTTGCTGGCTGGGCCAAGCTGATCACCAGCACAGGTCAGGAGAGGCAAGAGGACCCACACAGGGAAGCCAGAGCCATGGTGCACACTGGTGCAGCCAGACCTAGGACAGGCCTCACAGCCGACTGCACTGGACACAGCTCTGCATTACGCTCAATGCAGCTCAGCCTGGCCGTGATCAAACACTGAGCTCCCCACTCACCAGCCATGTGATCTTGGGCAAGCAACTCAACCTCTCCAAGCCTATTTCTTCCTCTGTAAAATGACAGCAACACCTGTCTTGTGGAGTGCGGTGAGGAGTGAATGCGCGTGTGCACTCGGCCACTCAGCCCAGCGCCTGCCCCAGGAGTGTGTCTAACAGGAGAGGGCTCTCACGGCCTTCACCTCAGCAAAGAGGACAGGCTGTGAACTCCATCCCTTTGTGGAAGGGAAAGA